GCGCGCGCGTCCCGCCCCGCCGCCCGCCGTGGGCCCCCGGCTGGGCAGCACCACTCTCGGCGGCGGCGGCGGCAGTTCCTGCGCCCGGTTCCCCACTCTCCCGATTTACTGCCACAATCCACCAAATAACAAGCTGTTGAGCAGACTCGCTTCTACACGAACTCTTATTGGCTGCTCATGACGCCGAAGAGCTTCGGATTGGCGCTCCCTCCTTGCCGTCCTCATTGGATGTAGCTCTGAAACTTCACGGATTGGTCCGCAAAACAGCAGGTAGGACATCTGCCACTTGTGATTGGCTGGCCCCGAGGTCCAACGTTACTGGAGAACCAGGTATTGAGTAAGCCAGGCCTGCCAAACGATTGGTTGAAAAGACTCCGGATGTGCTTCACTGAACACTGATTGGTAAACGGAGGGGGTCAGGAAGAGCAGTTCCGCACGAGGATTGGCAGCGGAGTGTCCCATGGAAACCGAACCCGGAGCTGCGGCCAGGACTAGCACGGGGGCGGGGCAGGGCCTGTCCAAGGCGCATGCGCGAAACTGACTTCTCGGCGCCATTTTGTCTGGGCAGAGGTGGCCGCAGGTCTATCGCATTTCATGTTTCTGGCGTGAGGACAGCGAAGTCTTTCTATTGTAGATGCTTTTCGGCGCGGTACCCATCCGCGGCTCTCTCCAGGGCAGCACCTAGTGAAGGTCGGAGGAGTCGCGAGTCTGTTTAAAAGGTCAGTTGGAAGCTGTGGTTGTCCGACGGACTGGGGGATGGCGCAGCTCTAGCGGCGCCGGCACCGGAAGTGAGGGGGCCAGGGCAGCCATGGCAAAGTGCTCCCCGCCGCGGAGTGGGAAATAGAGGGCGGGATGAAAGGGGGCGAGGCTTTCTCTCCCGCCGCACGAGAGGGAGGCGGAGGAGGGGAAGTCTTTCTGTGGGCTGGTCCTTGGACTCATCTGGAAGGCTGGATGGGTTTTCGGGGTCCTGCTCCTTTCCGAACCGCTCCTCCTCGGGTTGGAAGTGTGTGTCGGGGGTGTGTCATTTTCTCCGCCGAGTGCTGCTGGCCCTGGGCGCCTCCCTCATGAGGACGGGGAAGGGGAGGTCCGTAGGCACCGCTGGGTGCGTGGGGACAGGTGTTTTCGCGTGCTCGTCACGCGGTGAAGCGCTCGGGTCGGAATGCGGAGAGCGCACGTGCTCGCCCCGACCTTAGGCAGCTGTCCCCATTGCACGAGGCGCGGGCTGCGCTTTGAAAGGAAGCGGCAGCACCGTCGGCTTTGCAGGCTCAGAGACCCCTTAAAGGACCTCCGCGGAGGGCCTTGTCCCGGGCAGCCACTGGGCCTGGTCGCTTAGCAAAACCTTGTGCTTTGTTGAATGAAGTAAAAGCACATGTGCAATGGTGGAGTGTCGATGGCAAGCTGTCATAAGGAATAAAATAATCAGGGAAATGGAAAATACCGTCGATAAACCCACGTTGACTAAATTGGCTCTTAGAACAGTTTAAGAAAAGCCGGAACAATTTTTCATCCAGAACAGTGGTTTTTCTCAAAATTACTTCTTGAGAAAGTGAAATATATGTTGGTGTTTCTATTGAGTGACCCAGTGGCACTCATCTGGATAGCTTCTTAAATTATAATACTGCACCTGTTTTGAATACTATGGATAAGTTTTAGTAACATTGGGTATTGTTGGCCTGAAGGGATCAGGATCTCTCCGTGACAGATATCGTGAAATGTCACTGAGGGGAGTTCTCATGTCTGTAAAAATATTAAAATTGGGGAGGCTGCCTGGAAAAATTTTCTATGGACCAAAAAAGGAGAGCCATTAAATAGCAAAATGGAAGAATGGTAGTTGAAGACTGTTTTGTTTGGTCAAGGGTTCAAGTGAGTCTGTACAGTTAGCTGTCAGGTGTGATGTTTTTATTTTTTTCGGGTGTATTTTAGAATGAAACCTCAAAGTTAGGACATACTTATGAATTTGTCTACCCATTCATGTGGTTCTCATTTCCGGATTTTTAAGTATTTAATATTTTTATCATGGACTATTATGAGCTATTTCATGATGTTTTGCTCCCAATTTAAAAATATGACATATAAAAAAGATACTGCAATAAGAGTTTACAAGTGAAGGGATTTTCTTTATTCCTCAGGCTACACTATGCTGCTGAACTTTGCCGGGGGTAATGGCCTCTAATTTCGCTACACAACTTCCAGCTGTTACTCTCCAAATACCATATCAGTGGGCATTTGGAAATTACTAAAAAGCCAAAAGAAGAACACCACAGTCTTCGTATTCCCTCCACCAAAAGGTACAGTTTATACTGTACAAAGGAATTTCACTTTTTCATTGGTTTTGTTTCACCAAATAAAAATCATTTCAGTCGTACTCATTTTGTCACCCATATTTTCTTCTTCATAGAAAACATTGGAAACAAAATATTTTGTCCTTAAAGCATTTTTATGGCCGCATAGTGTTCTACAAGGTAGGTGCACAATAATTCATATAACCTGATCTCTTAAGTTTCCTATTTCAGCAATATGGCTGAATAGCCTTGTATATATTTGACAAGATTTTTGCCTAAGAACTGACATCTGTGACTAAAATTTCTAGGCACCGAGATTTTCCTTCACATCGCTGATTATTTCTTTAGAATAAATTCCCGGAAGTGGAAATATAAGACCAAAGGAATTGTACATTTAATGCATTTAATCCTTTAACAGCTGTTCAAAAAACATTTGCTCTTACTGTACTTTTACATTTTTTTGTCGTCCTTTTGCTTTTTATTACATTGTTTTTTTCTTTATTTTTATTTTTTTTAATTTTCTCTCCTGAGTCTCTGTTTATTCAAATAGAATTATTACAGTCTTAAGTCACATATGTAGTAAAATTGAGAGTTTTTGTTGGACCTTAGGAATAATTTCTTAAAGCTAATTTATTTTTTACTGTAAAAAATAAATGTGCAGTGAAACATTTTGCTACACAGAAGTGACATTTAGAGGTTGCTAAAAACAAGGTTTTTTTTGGTATATTTAGTTGAGTTTAACAAGTTATTTTTATGGTATAGTTAGTTGAGTTGAACTATTTTAGTGTTTCCTGTAACCTTTCCTATTGTGAAAGCAGAATGTTATATTTCCTGAAGGTTCCATCCTTATGTGCATGCTGTGCTCTTGGTGATTTTGTACCCTTACGAGGACCCTTTACATGCCTCTCACAACATTTACGTAGCAGTTGTTTGGCTCTTCTGGGTTTGAGAGACTACTTCCAGAGGGAAGCAGCAGAAGTTTTAGTCACACTTGTGTTTGCCTGTCAGAAACATGATAGATGCTCTGTCATTATTTCTTGTGAGTCTGTTGGTTTATATACAAAATATGTAAAATAAGCTAATTTAGGTTTTCTTTCTTTCATGACGTTCCACCGATGCTGTCTTACCTTCAAAAATTTTTGATGTTCCAAATTTTTTATTTGATACTGAATTTATTTGTAATTGCTAATATAATGTGGATTAAGAGAACTCAGAACAGTTATTCAGGATTTTGTTTTCTCAGTGTTTTTTTTTTAAAGGATTTTATGACCTCTTAATGAAAGGCAACTGTAACTAAATAGTCACTTAGACTATCTGTTAGGGTATGAATGAAAGAAAATTGTAACAATTGTTTTTTGTAACCTATTTCAACACGCCCCAATTAATAGAATAATGTTTCCTACAAAGTCAAAATTGTCAAATTTTTAATAATGCTTTTATTGATGAAAAGCTTTTGTGAAAGCAAAATGTTACATTTTTTGGTCAGGGGTTTCAGTGAGGCTATATAATTAGCTTCCCAATGTATTTTAGACTGAAATTACAAATTTAGAACATCCATATGGATTTGTTTACCCATTCACATAAATTTCATTTCTGGATTCTCAATCACAGAGTACTGAATATTTTCATGATTTTTTTTTTAACAGTGGTAAAGTACTTGAGATCTCATCCTTAAAAATGTTTAGAAGTGAAGAAATTTGTGTGTGTTTTCAATGGAAATTTTAAAACATTCTGTGTTCTGAGTATGTGGGTTTTGTCTTCTAGTGAACTTCATTCATTTCGTGGAAAAATGAAGGAGATATTCCAGTTTTTAAATACCTAAGATTTGTTACCTGTTGAAAATTATGTTTCTGGTAAGCAATTTCACTTAACTATTCTTTAATAATCAAGATTAGTCATGTTACTCTTACATATATCTCGTTTGAAAAGTGATAGGATTTGTTCCACTGTACAGTTGTTTCTATAAATGTCTGTCTAGAGAAGTAGAACATTACTGTGTTGAATGTATCTCCTTGATGATTCCTAATGAGTGTGGGGTGTTGTTTTTTAAGTTACAAAATTTGCTTATTTGTAACCAAAGTAACCTTTGCAATCTCTGTCTGATCTTTTGCCCTATTAGATGTCACTGGTGATTTTATAGACACATGGAGCTATTGATACTGGTTTTCTTTCATTTATAATTCAAACTAGAATGACAGCATGTTTTAGGATTGGATTCAAGCTGATCTAGGTTACCTAGTGGCATTTCTACCTGGTGAGGAACTTACGGTCAGTAAAAGAAAACTAAACATGTGGAACCTAAGTAAAAAGTAGTTATTTCAAAAGATGCAATCAATTTAGATTAACTTCTTAAAGGTTTAAAACATGGCAGGCAGTTCAGTCCATCTAATTGCTTATAAGAGGACAAATTGGTAATACTGAACAGAAAGAAATTCACTTAGTGATCGTTGAAGACTTCTCAAAGTTAGTGAGATTTAAGATGTTAAAGTAGAAGAAAGCAAGAAGACATTCTAAGTGGATGGAAGGTTGTGACCGAGAATACAATTATCTCCTGAAAGCTATATTTGGGACAGTGAGTAAACCACTTTGGAGAAGATGACTGGCTAAAGATTACATTGGGAAAATCGTTTGAGGCCGTCAGAATTATATCAGGTTCTTGTCCTCTCTACAGGTTTTAGAACCTGTAGAGAGCAGTGAAAGCTGGGTTGTGAGCAGGAAATGATGATTAAGTTTTGTTTTATTTTCAAATTTTACAAATCAAAATGGAACTAAACAAATGAATCATATTTAATCCTACCCCAACATTAAATTTTGAAAGTGTTTTCTTCCTGGTCTGTACACATATTCTTTCTTTAGTCTTAGAATATTTTTTTATTTTAGTTTTTCTTGTAACGTTCAATATGACTATGCAGTCTCTGTAATAATTTTAATATCTGAAAATATTCCATCAAATTATTTTGCTTTTAACTTCATTTTTCTGTTGCCTGCCTATAATTAGGTTTCTAGTCCTTCAAGATTGCGCTATAATCATCATCTATGTGCATACAATATTTTCTGTCTTTTGGACTTTGAGGGTTGATTTAAAAGGTCATTGTATGAATATTTTTATGACTCTTGAAACATTGCCATGTTGTTTTCCAAAGGAGTTATAATTTACACTGTCACCATCCCTGTGAGTTTGTCAGCTTTGAGCCGAAACCGGTTTGGCTCAGTGGATAGAGTGTCGGCCTGCGGACTGAAAGGTCCCAGGTTCGATTCTGGTCAAGGGCATGTACCTGGGTTTCGGGCACATCCCCCGTGGGGGATGTGCAGGAGGCGGCTGATCGATGTTCCTCTCTCATCGATGTTTCTGACTCTCTCTCTCTCTCCCTTCCTCTCTGTAAAAAATCAATCATATATATTTTTTAAAAAAATAATTGTCAGCTTTGGGTAGTCTGTAATTATAATCATTTTTAACTAGTGAGGTTAGATTTCTACTTATTGATTATTAGTCTATTCAAGACTTCTGTCTGTTTATGTATTAGAGCCTTGATATTTTTTACTATATTTTTTGACTGTATTAAATACTATTTAGTAGTAATTTGCTACAGATACTTTTCCATGTAGACTTCCCTTTTAATTTTAGTTATTTTTTTGAAGGTTTTTTAACAGACACAGAGGAGTCTGATTACACAAAATGTATTATTGGAAAATTATTTGGATACAGTGTCCAATGTAACTAAAGAAAAGACACAAGAATTGGAGGAAGGGAGACAAGATAATGTTGCCGTTCTGTCAGCCTAAAAATGAAACTAAACTAGGACCTGGAGACATAGGAAGGAACAGATGAGCAGGAAAAAGAGTTGACAGCATTTGATCACTAATTATGAAAGTAAAGAAGGAAGAAAAAACACTCAAGATTTTAAAGAGCAGGGAGTAGATGGTACCATTACCTAATTTGGAAAGTCAGGAGACACCACTGGTTGGTAAGAAAGATGAAATTATTTTTAAACATGCAAGTGAGAGTTTGGATTATTCAGTAAGCATCTAATCCTTTTCTCAAAGTGCCTATGAGGTCCCTAATTGGGTCAAGGCATATGATGGACCTTGATATTGCTTTCTGTATTTTGACTTTCAATTTTAGTCTTTAGACTTTGGTTCTTTTATCAGAGCTTTCTCATTTCTGAGTTTGAAAGTACAGCTTGAAAAGTTAAAGTATATTAATAGTAAAATAAGTTCAGGGAAACCAGGTGATTCTCCAAGTAAATTAAGAGGTTATTTTCTCATGATTGAAAAAAATAATAGTGTTAAATGAGCATCTTGTAAAATATGTGGATGCTTTTTTAAAAAGCTGTTCAGATACGTGGGTTGAAGTGTCTTTCCTCTTCCTCTGTGGACTAAGTTTAGTGTGTTTTATTTTGATTTTAACAAAATAAAGAAACATGTAATTCTGTGAAACATTAAATGTTTAGCCAATATTCTTTGAATATATATGTAAGTAAAGATAATAGTTGTCTTATTTTGGGGGAAGCACTTTTAACAGATGAAATTTAAGTGTTCAATTTAAGGAAGGACTTTGACAATTAGACATGAAAATATGGAGTAGACTAACTTTGAGTGTTCTTCAAAAGGAAGAGCCTAGCGCAGCTGGCGTGGCCTGAATGGTTGAGTGTTGACCTATGAACCAGGAGGTCACAGTTCGATTCCTGGTCAGGCCACATTGTAGGCTCAATCCCAAGTGTGTGGCATGCAGTAGGCAGCTAATCAATGATTCTCATCATTGGTGTTTTTCTCCATATCCCTTCCTCTCTGAAATCAATAAAACCTGTTTTTTTTTTTTAAAAAGAGCCTAATTTAACCAGTAAATCTCTCATGAATCTTTTCCCCCTTTTTTCCTAGGGCTTTCAAAAATGTTTTCTGCTATTTAGCAAGGAAAAGATTACAATTTTGTTTTAGGAAAAAATCCCCCCCCCTTTTTTCTTTTTGATTTGGCCTTTTAATCTGTTTTTATAAAACCTAAGTTTTGGGGGTTAGTATATGGCCCTGTGAACTTTGGGCTACTTTGTCACATATTTCAAGACTCTTCATTTAAATAATTAGGTATACAAAAGTTTCCCCATCATAGCACTAGCTTTGAGTTACAAAGATATAACCTGTTTATAAGTTGAGGAAAAAGTAATACATTCAGAAACATACAACATCTGTACATTAATTTCAGCATTAGTTTTTGATGACTGGTATGTGTATGTTTTAATTGCTTCTCTTACATTAACCCCTTTTCTCTGGTACCTCTTATTTTTCAAAGGCTACAACATTTGATTTACTTACAGCATATAAATCTCCATTAGAATGATAGCTTTAAAAATCATTCAGGGATAGCAAAGAAGATACTTCCAGCTTTAGAATGTGTAGGTGTGGTCAGGCTTTTAATGGGAGGGGTAGTTTAGGGCAGATTTCTTAACCTCTCTTTCCCAACTGACCTGATAAGGTTAGGATTAGTATAAAATGAATTAAGACATGTAAAGTGTTTAGAATGATGCCAAGTATTTCGGGAGCACTCAGATATTAAGTGTTGTTGTGTTTAGTGTGTATAAAGATGTTAAATAGTGTCTGTCGTTCAAAGAATGTTTCAAAAGAATACTTTAGCCCTAACCGGTGTGGCTCAGTGGATAGAGCATCAGCCTGCGGACTCAAGGGTCCCAGGTTCGATTCTGGTCAAGGGCATGTACCTTGGTTGTGGGCACATCCCCAGTAGGAGGTGTGCAGGAGGCTGCTGATCGATGTTTCTCTCTCATCAATGTTTCTAACTCTAACTCTCTTCCTTCCTCTCTGTAAAAAAATCAATAAAATATATTTTTTTAAAAAGAAAAAAAACGAATACTTTATTATATTTATACTAGAGGCCTGGTGCACGAAATTCCTGCACTAGTAGCCCTTCCTTCCTCCTGCTGCCGGCACCGGCTACCCTCTGGCACCTGGGCTTGCTTCCCTCCGGCTGCTGGCAGGCACCTGGGACCCAGGCTGGCTTCCCTCCAGCTGCCCACAGGCACCTGGGACCTGAGCTTCCCTCTGGCCCTGGCTTCATGCAGAACAATGCCCAGTCTAATTAGCATATTACCCTTTTATTATTATAGAAGACAGATGCAAAAATCATCTAGAGTGACTCTGCCTCCCATTCAATACCTTCCCAAAAGTCATCACAACCTCTCTTCATACTTTTACTTCTTTTTAGGTATTATTTGCTCTTGTCGCATGAAAGCTATCATGTCTCCCCTCCACAAGCTCTGTGTTTTCTCGGCTCTTTTTTTCTTTTAAAGTGCCCCAACCAGGGATCGAACCCACAACCCAGGTATTTGCCCTGGCAGGAAATCAAACCTCAACCTTCAGGTGCACAGGGCTACACTCAACCAATTGAGCCAATCTGGATGGGTCCAGCTTTGTTTTTATTCATACCTTTCCCACTGTCTGGAATGTTGCCCTATTAACACCTGGTCAAAAGCTACTTTTTAAGTGAAGCTTGCCATGATACCTTTGCAACTGTGGTAATTTGTCCATATGAATTTTATATTTCCTCTTAGAAGATTCCTGCCACTTTCTATGTTGCATTTCAGTTTTCATTTTCTTTATCCACTTACATGTTCTTCACTAAGTGATGACATTCTTACAAGTGGAGAACTATACCGTATTTATCTTTGTAGGGTTAAAACCTGTTACAGGCCTTGGCACTTAGTAGGCACTGTATATATGGAGTGAAAGTTTATAAAAGGTGATGTTTAATGGACAAATGTGTGCAAGTGAATATGTGCTTTGTCAGTATTTGTACACCAGGAACATCTTGCCTGGTCAGTTACTAAAAATGGGATCATTTGGGGCT